GATGGACTTCGGGAAAAGAAGGTGCACCTTGTGATATGAGTAGTACCTATCAAATCTCTTAAATTTTCTTGGTCTAGGGTATTACAGTAGGTGAGTTTTTTATAATTTCTATTACCTATTGGTATTCAATATTCATCTGCTAATGGTTGTACTGCTGTAGAGTATACGTATATGCCATGGGTAATTGTTTTTTCTTGATTTGGGTTTTTATTTTTATCCCTAATTTATGCGATTTCTTCTATTTCTTATCTGTGGTGCTTGTTTTCTTTTCTTGTTATGTGCTCATTCGCAATCTGCAATGTGGAATGGAAGGGTGATATATATATATTCTGTGTGGTGGAGATGGATTTTGGATGGTGGACTGGTAGTACCCATCTCCTGCTATTCTGGCCTTTTGTATGGCAATTAAGCGAATGTCTGAGAAGATGTTGAAAGCTGTAGTATTTCTCGAGGTGGAAGGATGATGATAGTATAGTGGATTGTAGGGAAGGCTGTGTGTGGGAAAGAGTCAGTGATAGAGTCCTGCAGTTGCTAATTCTATAGATGGTCTGCAGCTCCATGGGATATAGANGCTAATTCTATAGATGGTTTGCAGCTCCATGGGATATAGACATTAGACAGTGATAGAGCCCTGAATTCTAGCATTTCCTTGACACTCCGTAGAAAGTGAATTTTTTTGTAGTGGATGGAAATTGGGTGGACAGTTGCTCTCATTTTATCTCTAATTAATTGTTTTCTTGAGTTGAAAGTAATTTATTCTTAAATTCCTTAAAAAAAGAAAAGAACTCACTGGTTCTTATATGGAATTCACTAGACAAAAAATCCTCGCTAACATCTGTTGTTTACCAAAATGAGAAAAACTCTTCTGGTTAACAAAAATATTGATATGAATTAAGATATAATTAGTTTCTGACCTTGATATGAAAGGGATCTTTAAAAGTTTTGCCAAATGTTTCTGATATGATGTGTGACTTGTATTGTCCAGCTGTTGTGTTAGACATAGGAACCCTTTTGTCCTTATACTGATTCACATTGACAAATTTTCGTGGTGGCCATCTTTTGTCTTCAGGAAATTGGTTAGTTTTGAGTGGGCTATTTGCTGTTCTGAAGAAATTTTTGCCATCTACACTTACATGAGGATTAAGCCTGATTATGGGAAGTTCTTTACTAGATGACCATTGCTTATATCTATACATGTACACAAAACATTAGAATCAAGAAATTCTGGATCATGAATTATTGAAATTTAATGGGATATAATCTAATAAATATCACCTGGGAGATGGAGATCCTTTGGTCTGATCATACGAGGATAGGGACCCTAAGTGATGGCCTTGATTATGAGAATTTTGAGCAAGGGATATGCCATCGTTTTCTAATCTCAAGTTCTGTAAAGAATTGCATTTTTCATACAAATTACTTTGAGAAATTAATAGAGAACTTGCATGTTTTTTTTAATAATTAGGCTTTTGCACTTGCTTTGTTGCCCACCAAGTCTTTCAATAGCATGAACAAATGAGAGATGGAGTTCAGGAGTCCTCCGGAGCCTAGGCATTTTGGACCTAACATATCTACGAACTCTACTCTTGTTTCCATTTCCTTCCTCAGACTTGTTACTATTTACTGTTTGCTCATCATCCTGAACACTGATGTCTGAAACCTCCATGGCATCACCATCCACATTGCTTTCGGCTTCTTCGTTCAAGTCTATAGATGAGATATTCTGTGAATAATCTGATAATGCATTTTCTTCCACTTCATCATTTCCATTGATTTTTCTATCACCAAGGACTTCCAATGCTTCGGCCATGCTATGCTTTCTCTGAAATTATTTCACAGTAACAACAATATGAAATGAATTAATTGTTGTACTTAATGAACCAAACTTTCTATCAAATGTTTGAGAGTTACATGATTTTCATAAATCGGTGATGACAAGATTTGAATCTACCTCATCTTAAAGCTATTCCTAAGGGATTAAATTTATTTTGAATATAAATCTTTATGAAAACAATTGCAGATAGAACATGTGTACTCTATGTTGCCTATTTTAACATGTGTACTCTGTGTTGCTTATTTTAACCAAGTTCTCTATTAATTT